GTCTTACATTTATTTTCTGTAATGTGGTTCTATGAACACATTGTGGACACAGTGATCCCATGCGGGATTTATTTAGTAAAATTCATTAAAATTCTGTTTAGGTTGCTGAAGAATCTATTTTAAATTGATTTTTCCGTTCGTAGAACTTGCTGCTTGGTCTTGTAGTAGCCTGTTTTTATTAGTCATTGAAAGCTCATTATTAGCACACAGCAGATGCTACAGGCTCTCATTTCACTGCAGTTGAAAAATGTGTTTCTAATAATGGGTCAATTCTGCCAGGCACAGTTTATACTGTGTTTGCATCTGTAAGTGTTAGGTTATGCCTCTGCATCTGACTGTACTAAAAACACCTACCCACAAAGAAATTGCTACTGAAATGTCAACAAAACTAACAGTGAGCAAGGAGGAAGAAAATGAAAGCAGTGATATTTTTGTCTTGCATTAGCTTTACATGGTATCCACTTGCAGATGTGATACATCTAATGAAGAGTGGTTACAGGAATTGCCTATTACCACCTGTCCTCCCAGTGGTAAGCACGGCCTTTCTGTAGCATGGGTAGAGGTGGCTGAGTGGCAAAGTGTGGTGAGTTAACAGAGTTTGATGGAGAAGTTTTCCCACAAGGAAAATGGGAGGATGTGACAGTGTGTGTCAGAGACATTGAGTTTAAGTTTCTGTGTTTATGAACACTGTGTAATTGTTCAGTATAACTATTGTATAGTTGTTTGTCTTGTCAGTAATCAGATAAGAATGGGATCAAGGTTACTTTCGGCTACAAAGGCTACATACTGAGCTGAATTACAAGATCAGTTTAGTGCATCAAAACTGATGATATTGGATACTTTCATGAAGAATTGTTGCAGTGCTAGCAGAGGTAAACTTAAGTTTTCATGTGATTTCATGATACTTTTCCTTTCTTGTGTTTTAAGCCAATATAGAATCACAAACTGCAGTACACTTTGGCAGTTGTTCCCCAAGTCATGTTTGTACTTGAAGTGCAACAGTCTTGATAATACGTAAATTTTCTTAAAAAGATAGTACAAACTCTGGTAGTCTGTTCTCTGCTGTCACTGACAGCTGTGAATTTTTTTTCCCCCATGGTACAAAGCTCCCTGCTTGAATAAGGAGGTAGCTACTCTTTTTTTGAAGGTTAGTTCTTGTTAATTTAATGCAGGCTTGACCCAGACTGTTTTATCTTACAGTGAAAATTTAGTATTTTAAAAGTGTTTGTTTCAAGTGTTTCATTACAGTCATAGGGGAGAGTTGATCAGTAGTCTGTTTCTCAGTATTTAAAAGCTGACTACAAATAGAACGTTTAACTGAAGAATTTTATGCTTGACTGACTAAGGGGAAGGTAGTTACGTCTTTGAGTGTGTACTTCGTGCAGCTTTGGGTCCAAAACAGGTGTACAAAACCAAAATACTACTATGTGATCTGAGTGGAGGACTTTGAGGGTCCTCTGCTCTGCTAAAGCAGAACCCACAGAGAAGGAAAACACTTCAACCTTTGTGCTTGTATTGACATGAGAGAGACTTTTTACTGTAATTACTTCCTTTTGGCATATAAAGTCCTCATTTGATAATATATAAGTAGCCTTAAAATTGCCACTTGAAGCTATATATGTCAAGAACTTGAACTGCAAACAAGAGAAGGAGGCCACCCTGTGTAGCTCTAAAGAATAATATAAAAACCAACAAACGGCCATCAGCATGGCTTTTCTTACCAGGCAGAACTCCTACATCATTACTTGACTACAGCACCTGTGACAGCCCTCTTCCCGTGCTGGAAGCAGTTCTAGGGAATCCTTTAAAAACACATTTTATTTTTTTTTTAGCTCTGAACAAGTTGCCTCTGGAAGCTGTCTTCAAGGCATGTGTGGAGCAATCCGTTGCTTTCTAGCAAAGGTTTGCGGTCGCTGTGTCTCTGTAGGAACCACAGGGGTTTCTGGCAGAGCCAGGGAGTGAAAGAAAATCTGGATGTAGCATTAAAAAGGTTTGATATTGTGATACTCCTCTTGTCCTGTTGGAGACTGTTCAATTTGATATAAAGTATCACGTTAAACCATAAGGTGTTAGACTTACCAGTTCGTGTTCTGTCTCTTCTCAGATAGTAAAAATACGTATTTTATGTATTCTTAAATAGAGCCTGACTTGACTTCCTAAAGGCAGAATGAATGTTTCTGAAGCAGTTTTATGTAGTCTGTCTAAGGCAAAGGGGTTGCTTGTTTTTACAATTCCTGCTTTTTGTTTTTAAATTGCAGCTGACCTCTGCAGAAAGGAGCTGAGCTTTGACAAGAAAGGGTGTTGTCTCAACAAGGAATACTTCTGAGCTGTACATCACTTTTTGTAGAGTCTTCCTAGGAATAAGGACAGTTACAAAGAGGAAGAGATGAGAAAATGATGAACCTCGTTGCCCTCTGGTGGGAAAGTCTTGTAGGAAGCTTGAGCATGCTCTCCATAGTCTGTTTTCTGAGTAGTCCATCCTGAATTAATCTGTGGCCTTATTTTAACCCTGCAAGTGAAATAACTTTTACAGTAATTAGAAGAGGAACTGGTGTTTTCACACGGGTTTCTGTTTGCTCCATTCCTCCTGCACCCAGATAGAATGGATCCTGAGCCAAAATGCACCCAAAGCAAGCAGATTTGAAGGCTGCAGCCTTCAAAGGGTTCACAAGATTTCCATGTTGAGTCCACATACACTTACATTCTAACTCTGTAGAATCAGCGTGTTTCTAGTACTTAAATGTAGCTCAAGCATGGAAAAATCTTGTATCCTTGTAGTCCCAAAATTGCAGCTGCAGTTCAACTGCTTGTGCGTTTGCCATACACAGGGGTGGGTGTGTGCATATTCCCTTCTATGTTTGGAAAATGGCTTTAATTTTCCTGTCTAGAGCTGTATATAAATCAGTCAAGAGTGGCTTACATACACAATCCTTGTGTAATATCTGCTGGGTTGCTGACATAAGGAATAAGTTAACAGTATGTGGGCCTGGTTGGTTGTCAGAACTCTAATTTGCAAGTGAAACTTGAGCAGTGTACTTACCAGCCAGATTTTGACAAATTTTCAGTAGTAACATGCGAAACTTCTCAGAGTTTGTTGCAGAGGTGACAACTGACCTATTTCTTCAGTCTCAAAGTCCTTAAATTACTGTTCAGATCACTCTCTTAACCCGGAAAACTGATATTGTAGAGCATGACCCCATTTTTTCAGCATGAAATGCGTTCCACTTTGAATTACGGAATGAATTTCCTGTTCAGCAGTCCTTGTCTCTAACTTGGTATACAAGATTCATTAACTGAGTTTTAGAGGTGTGAGTAATTCTGTATTTGCAAAAGCCTTCTGGATCCTTGATCATGGAGTGTGGTGGATCTTCAAGCAAAGAGGCATGACTTGCACCAGGTCTTCCTTAAGCTCATCAGTTGAACTTTCAGCTGTTTCCCTCTAATGTCGTGGAAGACTCGATCCTAGTTATTTGGTAGGCCCACTGAGCAGGAAGGAGCCAAAGTATTTTAGGCAGTGCTTGGCTTGCTGTGTCCTAGTTAAAATCTGAACGAGTTGGATTGCCTCCTACAGAGACTTCCCTTTCTGGTTTGCTGGGTGAATCAGCTTCCCTTCTTCCGTTTCGATCTTGTGACATTGTTTACAAAAGCCTGAAACTTAGTGAGAGGACTTAATAAATCATCAGTTAATTGTGGTCAAACAGTAAGGTGACAAATTGTCCAGAGTCACAGTAGAAAGACATTGGGTGTGCAGTTGTACAGTCAATTAATTTGTGACTTAGTCTTATGGTTAAATCTCTGCTTTATAGAGGGATATCAGGTTTAGAGAACTTCTTTATTCCCACTTGGAGCTACATTTTACTCACAGAACTTACCCTTGTATTTAAATTTTGTTTTTCAAGATGAGTTTGGCTGCTGGCTCAGGCTTTTTTGTTAATATCTAACAAACTGAACATCCATTCCTGAAAGTTGAGGCAACTTTGAAGTTTCTTTTATTTTAAACGTTTGCACTCATGTTATAAATGAACTGCCACATGGCCAGCCTTGACTAAATACAGTTAAATCCTTAGTCAAATTCTTCTCAAGAATGAGTCCCCACTGGGAATGTAAATTTGACATAATTACACCTTACTCATGATGAACATGTTAACATCTCTTAGGTTTTGTTCCTAAGTTTCATGCTTCTATAATATATGAATTACATTTGAAGAAATGATTTTAAACTCTACAGAATATTAAAAACAAACAAAACCCAAACCCAATAACTACTCTAAAACAACAACAAAAAACAACCCAGCAAGTTATAGTTTCAGTTAGGAAATAAAAATATGAGCTTCCCAGTTGGATGTTTAGGATCTTTCATAAACTTATAAATTTTTATTTCAACGCTGGTTTCGTGAGGTGACAGTGGTGAAACTCAGATGAAGATGACTTTGCTGAGTATCTGTTTGACCACATGTGGTTGGAAGATTTATTGATGTAGGCAGATTCATATCATGGTCGTAGATGACATACACCAAATGAGATGTGTTACATGAGTGAGCAAAAGAGAACTGTTAGAACACCTGTCCTACTGCTGTTGTCAGCTGTAATGTGGAACCTGCTTTCTCATGAGTGTGCACCGCAGTCTGTGCTAAACTATATCAAAACTCTTGTCATAGGATGAAAGGTTATTTTAATCCCTTGTTCTCCAAAAAAAAAAGAAGTGGTTGAATTTTGTTTGCGTTGGTATGGAAGATGCCATGTGTTTTGGGGAGTTCTTAGTTGGGCTTTCTGAGCATATATGACAGCATGTGTACAGTTGCTCATTTTTCTATTTTTACCTGTGACCAGAGGGATATTTAAGGTCCTGTAATGGAAATTAGTACTAATTCTTTGTTCTTATGAGGAGTTTTGTTAATGCCTTTCATGTTGAGAAGTATAGTGTTGGTTTAGTCTTTAGTTACACGTTTGCTCTTTAACAAAGCTAATAGATCAATTCTTGTATATTCACAGCTTTTCCATGGTTTGGCATGGACATTGGGGGAACTTTGGTGAAACTTGCATATTTTGAACCTATTGATATCACTGCAGAGGAGGAGCAGGAGGAGGTTGAAAGCTTGAAGAGCATCCGCAAATACCTGACTTCCAATGTAGCCTATGGATCCACTGGCATTCGAGATGTCCACCTTGAGCTGAAAGACTTAACGATTTTTACTCGGAGAGGGAACTTGCACTTCATTCGATTCCCAACTCATGATTTGCCTACTTTTATCCAAATGGGAAGAAATAAAAACTTTTCAACACTACATACGGTGCTCTGTGCCACTGGTGGTGGCGCTTACAAGTTTGAAGAAGACTTTCGCACAGTACGTAGCCTGTCTTTCCTGGTGCTAAAGCTGATGCTAAAAGCTTTGCTGATGATGGGTTAAAATAAGCAGTATTTTGAAAAACTGGGGAATGCTTAAAGATTATTAATTACTCATTTCTTATTCAGTCTTAAGTGTGATAATCTAGAAATATGCTTTCTGACATAATCATAATAAACATACAGCTGGTTAGATGCTTCTGTTGATACAGTGAAGTGCAGAACACTTGTGGAAGTTAACAGTTTTCTAACTTGTGTTGTCTCTGGTGGTAAGTGTGCTTAAACTGCTGAGGTGTTTGTCTGACTTTGGATTTTCTTTCTTAAGCAGTCTTTGATGGTAGGGTTTCAGTGTTAGTGGGTGGGATTATCCTCATTAATTTAGTTCAATGCATTGTTTAGAGATCTGTGACAAAACTGGTATCTCAAAGACTGTCTTTCTTCAACTGCAGAATGGTTTGGGATTTTTCTGAGGTGTTTTGGCTCTTCTTTTGATGATCAAAATTCATCATTTGATTAGATGCAATTTCTGTATGAAGATAGTTGTTACTGAGAATCTTATCTCAGTATCCAGTGTGCATGTGTCCTAGTTTTAAAGTGGCTGCAGACCTCTTGTTCTTCTGGAGACAAAACAACTTTGAATAGCACAAAATGTTTGGTTTCAAAATTGCTTGTATTTCCATTCCTATGCCAGTCTTGCGTTGAGCTGGTACAACTGTTTATGGGGTAGGGTCACAATTTTTATAGCAGTAATAATTCATTATCTAAAACCCCACAAAAATACTTTATTTTGGTTCAGTTCCCTGATCTGCTCAGCAGTGAAGCTTCACAGTTGTGCCATGGCAAGAAAAGCTGAAGGGACCTGGGGGAAGAGGGGAGGGGACTGGCGGTGCTGTGATCTGGTACTGATGTCATTCAGCAGCGCGTGGTCTGGTCTGATGGTGCAACTTCGTAATACAACTGCAGGCTGCTTTTGAAATGTGAGCTCACCTGATTCAGAGATAGACTTTGTGTGTGGTCTTTCTTGGATTAGCTGTCTAATTTGAGACTCTAACTGTTGGAACTCCCTGCTGCGGTAAGGGAGAGAGCATGATCACATTTTCTGAAAGCCCAGAGTTAAATTGGATTAAATACGGTGTGAAATTGCAGCCTTCCTAAATTGTCTTTCTGCTTTGTGAGAGAATGGCAGCTTAAATGTCATGTGCAAAACTGAGGAAGAACTGTAATGAGCCTGACGTCCCATAGGATTTCTGACCTGTGGTTCTCTTATGATCCCTAGAGTGTTAATAGAATCATAGAATCATTAAGATTGGAAGAGACCTTTAAGACTAAGTCCAACCATCAACCTAACACCACCATGCCCACTAAACCATGTCCTGCAGTGCCATATCCACCTGCTTCTTGAACACCTCCAGGGATGGTGACTCCACCACCTCTGGGGACAGCCTGTGCCAGTGTTTGACCCCTCTTTCAGTAAAGAATTTTTTCCTAATATCCAATCTAAACCTCCCTGCTACAACTTGAAGCCGTTTCCTCTTGTCCTGTCACTTGTTACATGGAAGAAGAGACCAACACCCACCTCTCTTAAAACCTTCTTTCAGCTAGTTGTAGAGAGTTATAAGGTCTCTCCTCAGTCTCCTGTAAACTAAACAATCCCAACTCCCTCAGCCGCTCCCTATAATTCGTGTTCTCCAGACCCTTCACCAGCTTCGTTGCTCTTCTCTGGACACGATCTAGTGCCTCAATGTCCTTCTTGTAGTGAGGGGCACAAAACTGAACACAACACTTGAGGTGCGGCCTCACCAGTGCCAAGTACAGGGGCACAATCACTTCTCTTCTGCTGGCTGCACTGTTTCTGACACAAGCCAGGATCCCATTGGCCTTCTTGGCCACCAGGGCACACTGCTGGCTCATGTTCAGTTGCTGCCCACCAACACCCCCAGGTCCTTTTCTGCCTGGCAGCTCCGCCCACTCATCCCCAAGCCTGTAGTGCTGCATGGGGTTACTGCAACTGAAGTGCAGAACCCGGCACTTGGGCTTATTAACTCTCATACTGCTGACTTCAGCACGTTGATCCAACTTAGCCAAGTCCCTCTGCAGAGCCATCATACCTTTGAGCAGATAACACTGTTTGCAAACTTACTGAGAAGCAACTTAAAGTTGCAAGGATAGTTAGTATGATGCCATGGAAGTTTTTTTCTTCGGTTGTTACCTGCTGACATCTTAGAAATTACTGTTTCACTTCTGAGATGAGGGAGGACACCCACAAACCTTGAAAAGATGTGCGGATGTGTGCCTTTCACTAAGATGATGCTCTCTGGCTTTTGGTGACATTTTTAAAAATTTAGATTGATAAAAAATGTTGCTAACTTTTCAGTGAATCAATGTCTGAGTATCTCAAAACTTCTTTGGGTTTAGCAAAGCAGATATTTATACTGCCTGTCCTTGATTCAAGTCTGAGAACTGGGTTTATAGCCATAGTGATTTGTTAATTGATGTATTCAGAATTTACCTCTGAATTCTTTGTTGACTTTATAGTGGGACTGAAGTTCTTGAATTAGTTGCCTGAGATAGCTTTTTAAAGCTAGGCTAAACAAATATTCTCATGAATCTGTAGCATGTTTAAGCAGTGTTAGAAAATGTTAACGCTGTCTTTTTTGTTTTTTAACAGATTGGAAACCTTCAGCTGCACAAACTGGATGAGCTTGATTGTCTTGTCAAAGGCTTATTGTACATAGATTCTGTCAGCTTCAATGGCCAGGCAGAGTGCTATTATTTTGAAAATGCCTCAGATCCTGAGAGATGCCAAAAGATGCCTTTTACCCTGGATGATCCCTATCCCTTGCTGGTTGTTAACATTGGTTCAGGAGTCAGTATTTTATCAGTCCATTCCAAAGACAACTATAAAAGAGTAACTGGAACAAGGTAACTTAAATACCTAAATTGGAGTTGTTATTCTATGAACCAATGACCCTTCTGTTTTCAAAGGGGTTCTTCTCCCTGATTCTTCTACCTATCCCTGCCCTCACTCTGTAGTATGGAGTATTTTATCTTTCATTTACAGCTGCATTCATTGAAAACCCTTCCCCATAGTACTGATATTGCAGACCTTTAGCCAGTATCTGCTTTGTCAATCGATGATTGCTAGAAGTGCTCCATAGTGAGAGTTTTACAGATTCTTGTCTTAAGTTTTGATAATGTGTCCAGTGAACTTCTTGCTCCGTATGAATAAACACATCCACATGTTTCACAGAAAATGATCAGGGGTCAGAGTCAGTGGCATGATGTGGGTATTTAGGGAATTTTAGTCTCTGATTAAGTCTGAAAAAGCTTACGTTTTGAGAGTTTATAACTGTTAGCTCTTACTGTATTGTTAGCTTCTTGTAAGTGACTTCTGTAAATGTTAACTATGTTGACAGCTGTTTGTGTAATGAACCCTGAGGAAGAAAGCAGACATCTTGGTATCTTAGGTTGAAGGGCTTTATTTGTTTATTTTGTTAGTTAGACCTAGGAAATACTATTTAAAAGCAACTAGCTTTCTTTCTTAGTCTAGGTGGAGGGACCTTTCTTGGTTTATGCAGTTTGTTGACGGGCTGTGAAAGTTTTGAAGAAGCTCTGGAAATGGCATCCAAAGGAGACAGCACACATGCTGACAAGCTGGTTCGAGATATTTATGGAGGAGACTATGAAAGATTTGGCTTGCCAGGATGGGCTGTAGCATCCAGGTAAGCAAGAGATCTTTTTGTTCGTTCTTTTGCCAGTTTGAGGGGCTTCAAAAACGAGACTAGTAATAAAGAGAGAACTTGACTACTATAAAAATTTGCAAACAGCAGTTATGTTTTTATTGTAAAAGTATATATACTCAGTTTTTCTGAAGATTTGAAGCCGCATGCAACTACGGGCAACTACTAGTTAGGTATTGAAGAAACCTCACGTGATGTATCATATACAGCTTTACATGAGTCAGAGAGAATGTGAGGTGATCACAGGAGTGGCAAGAGTGGAGTGCAGAGGAAAAACAAAGCAGATTCCTTCTTGATTTCCTAGAATCTTCTAGTAGGGGCATTGTCCATTGGGAAAGTGAGTAGAAGGTGATATTTTTGTTGCTCTTACAGTATCTCTTTTTTTAGGCTGTTTTTTGATAAATGATGGTTAGTACAGGCACCTGGCATAATGTTTTAACTACTTTTCTCACTTACGAAAGCTGTTAAACATAAACTGTTTGCACCATGAAAATTAATGTATTTTACTACCAATTACAGAGGATTTCTGTCATAGCTGCAAGTTTTATTTTCATTGGGAAAGTTTATTGGTGATATTACAGCTTCTCTACCCTTAAGAAATGTAAGAAGAGTAAACTTTTGGAGTGAAACTAATATGTACATAAGAGAGTACATTCAATCTTTGCTCTCATTCAGTAGTAAGTGGTCTTAATTCATAGTAACGTAATTCTTCACCCTCTCCAGCCGTCTGAGTCCAAGCCTCTTCAAAGAGCATATGCTGAGGTTTTAATATGTGCAAACATTACACTTTTAGTCAATGCATCTTAACTCATTCTGTATATAGGTGCTTTTTGTTACTTACTTTTTAAGACTCTTGGGATCTTTAATGACTGTTTGAGTTTTAAAATAATCAGGGTTCAGGCTCTCCAAACTGGCTTAGATATGGCACAAAGTCCTTAGTGGTAAGATGTCATGCGTAGCTATGGATTCTTGTCTTGTTTTTTTTCTTTCTCACAATTTGTAAGAAATTTCCTACTGTGAATAAGTAATGCAGATGTCCCAATCCAGAGCTCTTAATTTATACAATCTAAATAGCAGTCTGCCGTCTGTTTATTTTCTGTTTCAGAAGATTGTGTCCTGTCATAAAACCATTCAACTCATCTCTGTTTTACTGTTTTACTTTTATAGCAGAGGATTAAATAGATACTGTGAGTGAGGAAGCAAGCATGAGGAGTTAAAAGATTCGCCAGAGTTAGACATTGACTTGATTTACAGTGACTAGGTTTGCTGCCTAAGGATAAAACTTCTTTTTGACGTAGATGCTTCTTCATGAAAGTCAACAATCTAAATAAAAATATTTGGGAGAGGGTCATTATAATAACAAGATTGACTGTTTCCTGTGAAGGAATAAATGTACGCATTGTTGTGTCACTTGCTAAATTGCTGCATGTAATAGGGAGCTCCTTAAAAACAAACATGAGACTTAAGTTCTGTTAGAGCATAAAAATTACATTCTGAAATTACTTCAAATGCACACTAATCACTTTGTACTCAATGGAAATTTTTCATGTTCTAGTTTTGGGAATATGATCTACAAAGAGAAGAGAGAGTCTGTTAGTAAAGAAGATCTTGCAAGAGCCATTTTGGTCACCATCACCAATAACATTGGGTCTATTGCCCGGATGTGTGCAGTAAATGAGGTAAAATCTTCTGACAAGGAAATGATCTATCTATAGGTCTGTTACTTGGTTTTACATTAGACATCTGCTTAAATGATGTAGCATTTTAAACCTTTTACATTAAATTCATTTACAAACCGTTTATAAATGAAATTAAGTAGTTCCTGTAGCGTTAAAGAACTAGGAACTGGTTCAGAATATTTTGACAGTATTTGGAGAAGTGGGATGAAGATACCTTTGCCACTGGGGAGGGTAACCTGATGTGGTGGACTTCAAACTAACTTTATTAAGGAGTGGAGCCCGAAGCGTGCCGAAGAAGGAGCAGAGGAGCATGGGATGTTGTGATGAAAGGACTTTGAAGTCCCTTTGCAAAAACAGGATGATGGTGGGCCCAGCTTAAGTCTCTGTACGCAAACACATGCAACATGGGGTACAAGAGGACCTGTGAGTCCTGGCTCTCATGAGGGTCTACCCCAGCCACTATAGAAAGGATAACATGGCAGATCACAAGCAGTCTATATTTCTCTGTCTGCTGGGGACAATCTTCTGACAAGTGCTAGGCAGGCTGACTAGGCAAGCATGGTGCTGGATCAGCTGCTCATGAGTGAAGAACTGGTTGAGGATTTCCCTGACAGCTTTGAAATAGTAGAATTTAAGGTCTTGAGGAAAGTGGGAAAGGTTTTGAGGTAAGTGGGAAAGGCCAGTAGCTGAATGGAGACTCCAGATGGACTTGAGTAGAACAGGATTGTTTTGGGGGGGTATTTAGGAGTCAAGATCTGATGGGAAGTTGTCCTAATGGCATAAGGAGCCCAGAATAGCTTGTTGATCTTTCACAATAGCATCCTCCTGGCAAAAGCAAAAGGTGGGATACAAACTGGCTGGGGAAAAGCACTGCAGAAGAGAAGGGGGTGCTGACAGACAAGTTGAACTGAACATGAATCGGTAGTGTACATGCACAGTGGTGAAGGCTGACCTTGTACTGAGATGTGTTAGCCAAGGACATAGCCAGCAGGTCAGAGGATGCAGTAGTTTGGGCATGACCTCTTTCCCCTTCCTTCCCAACCACCACCACTGCCAGAAGTGAAGCACTGACAGACTAGAACAAGTCTAGCAGGTTACCAAGGCAGCCCTGCGTGGAGCACCTGATGTATGGACAGACTCTGAGGGATCTGGGTTAACCCTGAAGAAACAGCTGAGTCTTGTGATGGTTGTCACTATCAAGAGGCTTACAGGGAGGACACTGCCGAGTATGGCCATGCACAGCAGAAGGATGGAAAGCAATGGATGCAACTTGCAGCAAAGGGAATTCAGATTGGTATAAGGGAAGAAAGATGCTTGCAGTGAGAGTGGTTAAGCCCTGAAACGTGAACTCAGAGACTGTGAACTCTGCGTCCTTGGAGAGTTTCAAAGCATGTGACTTGAGCAACTTAGATGTTGAAGTTGCTGAAATACATGCTTTGAGCAGTGCATAGAACCTGATAGCCTCCAGTAGTTTCTTTAAGATGAAATTATTCTCTGATTAAAGTTCACAGAAAGCCTTGTTTCTACGTAAGAATTCTTTTTAAATTTTTACCAACTCTTGAGGCCTTAAATTGGTTTGATGCTGGTCGTCTCACTGGTTGGTACAGAGACGGTTTCCTGTCATCATCTTTCTCAAAGCTCTGCTAAACAGAACCAGTATGCGTTCGGTTTCAGTGTGGTTAGCATGGACAATCAAGAACCTGTGGAAGAATACTTCGGATAAACTGAGGTTTAGTAACTGCTTTCTTAGAGAAGACTAATGGTAACTGTATTTAAAGCTCTGCTTAAAATCTATGTATGTGATAGTCTCAGAAATATCAACAACGTTGTTAGCTGCAGTAACCCTCCTTTTGCTTAGGAGCCAGACCAATACATTTCTTCTGGTTTCAGTATTGCAAGTTCTCCCTGAATTTCCGTCTCATGTCTGTCTCATCTGTGTCTTGGAGAAGAAAGTTAATTTTGTGGGTACTGAGCTAATGTTGGAGTTGATTTTTTGTTTTGCTTTATGGCAAAGGTTGATAACAAAAGAGATAAGGGTGAAGTTGAAAGTACATACTAGTAGTCTGAGTCTGAAGCAAATGTATACCATTTATACTTAATGGTGGGTGTAAATGAGAACTCATAAACAGCACAAATTAGCTTTATTCCAAGGGAGGTTTTTTGGTCTAATTCCAAGATGTCACAGAACTACAAATCATAAGAAATAGTTAATAGGAATCCACACACTAATATCTTGAACTGATGTATAAAGAGAATGTGGATTTAATTTTCTACTTCCTGCTATAGAGCAGAATTATGTTTGACTGGGTGCCTTAGCGCAGTGTGTTTGTCTTCACTGTGGACTGCTCAATATGGTGAAAAACAGTTGTGTTACTCACTTGAATACTGGTTGAATTGTCATACTAGTTTTTGTAGTAACTTGGATACAAATATTCATCTAACAATTAAGCGCTTATTGAAGCACTATGTTAAGCACTAATACAATTCAGTTTTCTTTGATTCTTGCTCTCGTATTATTAAACCAGTGTTTAATGTTGCTTCCACTTAACGTTGGATATATTTCAGTGAGTGGAGAGAATTAAACTTTTCACTGTTTTACATTCAACTTCATTAATATTCACAGCTCAATTCTAGTATTTGTCTAATCTTATACTGAGTATACTGAGGTATACAGGTATATTGAGCCCTGAAGATGAGAGGAACATCTGTTATGTCTTGCTGTCTTCGGCTTCTTTACAGTGCTGCCTTGTTGCATATGGATCAAGCAGCATTGTACAGGGCTATGAAGGCACTGAGTCTTCTCTACCGAATACAAGTATTTTTCATTTAATTTAACTTTTAGCTAGGCCGTTTCTTTGGCTTAGTTACTGAAAATACTCACTTTATTTGAAACACAAATGCCACTTCTCAGTAAATTAAGTCCTTTAATTCTTGAGGGTTGCACAGTTCTTCCTTTTCCTCAGGTATGCTATTTTTTAAAATTTTGGAACCATATTTTAATTGTGAGTTGGTGGTTTATTTTGGGGTTTTGGTTTGTTGGTTTTTTTTTTTTCCTTGCTCAAAACAGTCTGTTCTTTCATAGCTTAATTCTTCAAAGCTTTGTTAAACAGTGAAAAGACTTAATCCTTTACTGTTTGTTTTTTTCTTCATTGTAGAAAATAAACAGAGTTGTGTTTGTTGGCAATTTTTTACGTGTGAATACTTTGTCAATGAAGCTTCTTGCATACGCACTGGATTACTGGTCAAAAGGCCACCTGAAGGCCTTGTTTCTAGAACATGAGGTACGCTCTGGTTCATTTATCTGTATGTATTGTTTTACCATAAATGAAAAGTGCATGTATTGAGGAGCGCTTATGTGTGATATCCTGAGACACCAAGTACTCAGTAAACATTGGAGATAAGAGGAGGTTTCTTGTGCTGTGTCGGTTCTGTGGGGAGAGCTCTCACTGCCAAGGAAGTACTTCTGTCACCTTAGGGTTTCTCAATGCATGCTGTATCTTCGGAGAGGGTCAGGAAGAATGTTAAGCTCCGCGCTAAGGTTCAGTAGTCTTCTCTTGGTTTTGGGTGGAAATAATAGTAAGTACTGTTTCAAAAGATTAGAGAGAGATCTAAAGCACAGGCCTTTGAAATACTTCTCAACTGAGGTTGAGCAACATCCTGAAATTTGAGACTGCTTTTAACAAGGACTGCTTTCATAAAACTACAGATACGCCTTTAAGCTGTTGTGGTGCTTTTAACCTCTGAGACTAACCTGCTTTTGGGCAGCTTCTGCAATCTAGATCAGTAAGTAATGCTGAGAGAGTTAACCTGTTTTGATGAAAGCATAGGCAGCAGCTGGAAGACCTATAGCTTCTTGGCAGTGGGCTGGCGATTTCTGTCCTCAGTTTGTTGGTCTGCAAATATTACAGCATTACATCGGTTCCCCTTCAGTTAATTCTCACAGTTTTTTCCCTTTGTTTTTTATCCTGAGACTGACAGTAGTCTGTCCTGGTGCTAGTGTCTGCAGTAATGGCAGAAAGGTTCCGTGTTAGTTCTACCCCCTTCAGATTTTTCTTAGGTAAATTCTTCCATTTGCTCAAGAGTAGATTCCAAACACTTCTGTATTTCATAGTTATAGGGAGGGAGAACAACTCATTTCCCCAGAGCGGGGAAGTAATCCAACAGGAGAACGTGGGATTTTTTTTGTATGCAAGTAAGTATACAGTCCAAAACATGGTGTTGAAGCTTGGACATAATTCTTAAAACGTGTGAGGTGCAGTTAGTTTAAGAAATTTTTGACTTGTACCTTAGGAATAGTGTTGCTATGGATATCGAATAACCTTTAGCAACTAAAATACATAGCTCTTGTAGGAAAAACAAACCAAACCAAACCTGATTTCCATGCTTTAAGAGTCGCTGGTACATGTCTTGGAGTGTTGCAGTGTATGGAAAGGTTTGGGTGAAATCTCCTAAAGTTAAGCTAGATAAAGTTGAAATGTTTGTTTCACAAAGCTTAAAAAAACTATTATGAAAGATATGTTAAAAGTATGTGGTATTTTTTTCTGTAGCATTGGTCCACCAGATGTTTTGTCATCATTGAAATGTGATTAGTGCAGAATTTAATGTCCTACTTGAAATATTTTTCTGTTTGTTTCAAACAGGGATACTTTGGAGCTGTTGGTGCTCTTCTTGGGCTGCCAAATTTCAGTTGAGATACCAGATGTCACTGCACTGAACTGTTTTCCACCTGAATGACACTTGTTTATGGCTGCAGGAACTAAATCTGAGGAGGGAAGAAGAAAAGAGCAGATTTTCTCTAACTTTTTAAGTGATGAACTACTGAACTGCTGGCATTGTAAGGAAGGAGTTTTCACTCTCTTGGCCATAGAAAAGTGACATGTTTGAGGATATAGTTTATGTTCTTTGGTACATGTAGCCAGTATCGAGCTTTTAATATGCAATACATCCTCTGAAAACAATCCTCTGAATGCCAGTTCTTTAAGTGCTCAGTATGCAAACATTGCAAGTTTATTCCTGAGGCCTTGGGCCCATCAGTTTTGTATATAATTGATGAATGAAAAATTATTTTCAGTAGTTACGCTACATTGCGAACACAATTTCCCATGTGTACTCACAGAAAAGAACTTTAGAAACAGTACGGTACTATCTACAAGAGGTGGAAACTGTAAACAATTTCTTCCCACAGTAAGAATAGTAATGATTTTATTTTTGTGTGTAATGGAAATAGTGCTTTAATTTTCATGGGAAGAATAAAAACGCAAAAAATGAGCCAAAGCTGCAGATTAAGCAGTTCATGTTTTGAAGGTTTCGTGAAGTTATTCACTTGCACTCTTCATTTATTTGAAGATGCAACTGGTATTTTGGGAAGATACCATCTGGTTTTGGTTGGATTTGGAAAAGAATTTAATTATTAATGAAGGCAGGTTTGGGGGGCTTTTAGTTTTGGTTTTGGTTTTTTTTCTGTTTGTTTTGGAGTTTATTTTTTTGTTGTTGTTGGGTTTTTTTTGAGGACGTGACTTCCAAAATGCCTTCTGTTTGTTTTCTGGTCCCTTCCAAATGCTGATATTGTGCATCATTATTTGTAAAGGTACCACAAAGCCTGAGAGAACTGAAGAAATCCTTATAAAATAGACAGAATATGGGTCCTCATAATTCTGATGCTTTGGCTCATTTCTGAGGAGGTTTGGAAAATTTCTGTCCTATCCTACTGGTTTTAAAATATGATTTCTCCTCAATTTTATAGGCGTTAATCAGAATGTAATTAGATGTTAAAAATCAAAGGCTGTTAGCTTGATTTTTGGATTTGAAGATTTGTTTTTGAAAGCTGAGGACAGCATCAGAGTTTGTATTGCAGCACCAAACAGACGAATATTTAGTGCACTTGCAATATGGAACCATTCATCAAATTGTGGCCTTGGGATAGAATCTTTACTTTGGAACTGATCTTTGTTTTTTTCTGTATACTTCTAAAATTTGATTGTGATTATTGTAATAAGTTTAGTCCTGAAGCCAGGGCGTGAGATCTTATAAGAGTATTACACAGTCATTAGTACATGACTCTGTGTACTAAAGAGCTACCCAATTTTCTGATGCCATTTTAATGTTAAATATTTCCTATAAGTGCATGAGGAGCAACCGGACTAGAACACATTCGTATCTTGGGTTTTAAGGTGTTTTTTAAAACTGCTGATTGCTCAAGTATCCCACAGCATAGCTGTTACATTTACAGACACATCCACCTAGTGTGCTAGAAACCTCTGTCTGCTATTTTCAGCCTTCTCTTTCTTAAAATTCAAAGCACCATACTGACATTGTATCTTTAACAACAAATAATTCTGTAACTTAGAGTAGCCAGTTCATTAAGCCAAGTGCCAATTGCAAATACAGTTCCATTTATTGCTGCTTTTCCTGGTAACTCATACTACATTTCCATTGTGCTTGCTCTCATATTACATTTTAGACATTAAAAAAAAATTGCACTCACAGTTCAACTCATCTAACGCTAAATCAAAGCACTTCAGAAAATAAGTTAATATGGTTTTTATAGAATGTCTTTATAAATTCTTTATACGGTTTCTTTTAAGTTATGGTTGACTATATAGATAGTTACCTTTATTTGGTTATAAAACTTTGTAAAAACTTGATTTTCTGAATGTTTTGGCAGCTTCTTGAAAATTTTGCAGATGAACTGTGTGCTTTTCTTGCAAAGTGAAGTACTTTAAGACACATACTACAGCTTGGTTAGAAGCAATTTCTTACTTCTTTTCATATCTATTGCTATGTCACTTCTCATTTTGTGATACTGAAAGAGAGCTGCTCTTGAAGCAGGAGTTAGAAGTTACTTGTATATTTAATCAGAAGCACGTGCAGTAGGTGATTACCAAATGACCATGGTTAATTTAAACCAGTTGAAATTAGTATGACCTAAAATACACTTTTAAAGTAAATTGTATAGACTTACAGAATAAATTAATGGAGTAATTCTTGAATAGCTGTACTGTATAGAAACTACTGTGAGAATAAAAAAGTATGCCCTACCTCTATTTTACTTTCCTTGAGCTTCTAAAGGAAAAAAAATAGGCTTCCTTCTGCTAGTTTTATCAGCACAACTGTTATTTCATTACAAGAGCAACCAGAGAAGTTTTCAAGCCGTGCTGTAAAGCCCAGGGGTCCTGTATGTAAGCCAAATATTTGGGTTTCATCTCATTTTCTCTGAACTTAGAACTTGTTAGTAAAGTCTCCGAAGATTGACTCTACCACCAGTACAAATGCTAGGCATCACAAATAGTTGCAAGATAAACCTTAGTCTTTCCATCTAAATACTCTTCTAATTAGGTTGAAAAGACTGGTTTATTTTGTACAGATCACTGGAGTAACTTGCTTTTTATTTTCTTCATAAACTGCCATTTATTTTCTTCAAAGCGAACTGGTTGAAGCGGCTTTAGGGTGAATTGATTCAATGTGATGTACTACAGTAGATAAAATGTGGGATTTTCTCAGGGTTACTGTTGTCTTTTTCAAGTGGAACCACTTCTCTAGAGGAAAGTTGTGTGATGTTTCTTCTTCTAAAGCAAGGTGTAAAACTCATTTTGAATGTGTAATTGTTTTCAGTTCAGTCAGCTATGTGAGTGCCTTTTAGTTTTTTTCATGTAATGCCAATTTTGCTGGTGCTGAGACCATCCAACAGGTTTGCTAACCAGTGTTGCTTAGAGAGGAAGGACAGATAGTTTTATTAGCTATGGAGATGATTCCTTCAACCCAGCGTAGCTAGAGATGCCAGGAAAACATGATCAGGTTTCTGTCTTCCTGTCCCTGTAGCCCTTAGCTTGGGGTAATGCTTCTGCATTTCTTTCATCCCTCCAGGTTGGTGGTGGTATTATGCACAGTTTTATTGTACCAGTCTCCCTAAAAGCATGCAAGTTTTTACTCGGATAATTACAGATTATTTCTGGCCAAAGAAGTTCATGTTTAGATAAATCTATTCTTAGTTGGTGTGGCCGTTGAACTTAACCACTTCCACCTTTCTAGTTCCGCTAGGGTAACTGCAATTCAGACAAGAAGGGAACTTCTACGGTACATGTTGAATATTTAGCAAGCTGCAATGAACAGGGCGTTCCTTACCGAAGCTAGCAGAGGTTTAAGTATAAACACTTTTTCTTTTAGTAAAGCCTCAACAAATCTCACAGTTCAGAGAGAAGCAGCACTCATATACTTGATTTGTCTTATAATCTTGGTCCAAATTTTCAAAGGTTGTTCAGATGTCTGACCTGCCTTTTCAAGATCTTTCCCCCTCTCTCTGTAGTGTTCTGCAAGCAAGCACCTGTGCAGTTCTACCAACACCTCCGATCATAATTTGAGAGTTAGTGTGGAGAGAACATGAGGCCACACTGTTCTGTTCTGTTCTGTCTGGCTTCTTATAACAGGTTAAAATACCCCTTCAGTAGTACTGTGGAATTCCTACTAGCATTTGCGTTGTTGATAGTATACATGCAAGACAATGCTTCAGAATAACAGTGGGATTTTAAAACTTGAAACTCATTACAGTGTCTCTTATCTAGAGCAAATCTAGATGTCCTTTTTAAAGACTAGATGATGTCTTATGTATTCAGTCATTAACTTACATTAATGCCTAAATTTACTTTCAACCTGTTTTTAAATATCACTTTCACTATCTGCATTCTGGATACTAGATGGCTACAGTCCTGAGGAGACAATTTGGTTGAGTTCAGAGCAGAGATGAAGGTCAGTGCAGTTCTGTTGAGCCAGTTTTGGTCAGCTTTTTATCCTGAGTTCCTTTGCACACATAACAATATTAGTGTTTTCCTAGCGACAGGGCTTTCCACATCCTTTTTATGGATTATGTAGGCTTAAAAAACATGTAATACATAATAGAGTTTTGCTTAGGTTAAAAAGTGAACAAAAATCTGTGGGTCAGATTAGAAATATTTGACCAAGACCTGTAGATCACTGTGCAGAGCTAGGAACACACTTGACACACAGTTACTGTTTTGGTTGTATTAATTTTTTAATTTCCCATTAATGCACAGTAAGAGGGGGCAGACTTAACTGGTGCTGTGGATAAAATGGGTGAATTAAGTCCTCAGACATGACCATGGGAGATCAAAAAAATGCTTTATCACAGTATAGAGGGATAATTCCCTGCTTGCATTGTTTAAGTTTTACCAATATATTCCAAAGTATATTGCCAGTATTCTGTTATCTGTGATAAAATTACTAGTTCTTCAAGTTTAGAAATCTGCAAAGAAGCCTGTTGTATTAGTTTTGTTTACTTCACGTGTAAAGCATGTTAAGTATTCTTAAAAACATGCTCTCTGGAAACATCTCAAAAGATCCTGTAATATATTTGTAATTATTAATGTGCTAATGGAATATGTTTGAGCATTCTAGGTTTGCGTAACTGAGTGCCAGATCCTGCTCACTTCAGTTACTTGAGTAGATTATGCTTAGATGGGGACTCTTTTAAACTAATGAGTAAGATTTGGCCTTGTGGTCTTCTGCCTGGGGAACACAGTAATGCT